GGTCATGATATCCATGTTCTTTCAATGAAGTGGTTGCGCAAAGTGGCCGGGCTTCGCTGCAGAGGTCAGGAACGTGCATGAAAATGTGCTTCAGATCCCAGTTGTGAACGTGCTTGTTTTATTTGGTTCCATGGAGGGGACATCAGCTCCGGTAAAATGCAACTTGGCGCTGCGTGTGGCTGCACTCAAAGTGTAAAGAGATTAGACATCTCACATCATGATACATAGCTAGATAGATAGATCCCTACATACATACAAACATACATACACACACATACACATACACATACAAATACACATACACAGACACATACACATACACATACACATACATACAAATGCATACACATACATACACATACACATACACACACATACATACACATACATACACATACATACACATACATATACATACATACACATACATACGCATACATACACATACATACACATACATACACATACATACACATACATACACATACATACACATACATACACATACATACACATACATACACATACATACACATACATACACATACATACACATACATACACATACATACACATACATACACATGCATACACATGCATACACATACATACACATACATATACATACACATACATACACATACATACACATACATACACACACACACATACACACATACAGACATATACATACACATACATTCATATATATATATATATACACAGATACATAGATACATAGATACATAGATAGATAGATTAGATTAGCTTGGATTAGCTTGGATTAGATTATATAGATGATTAGGTTAGATTAGATCGGATTCGATTGGATGGATAGATGCATAGATAAATAGATCGATAGATAGATAGATCCCTACATACATACATACATACGTACATACATACATACCTACATAAATACATACATACATAGATACATAGATACATAATAGATACATAGAAACATCGATACATAGAGACACAGATACATAGATAGATTAAATTAGATTAGATTAGATTAGATTAGATTAATTTGGATAGATAGAACGATAAATAGATAGATTTGATTAGATAAGATTAAATTAGCTTAGATAAGATTAGATTGAATAGAAGATAGATAGATTAGATAAGATTAGCTTTGCTTTGCTTAGATTAACTTAGATTAGATTAGATTGGATAGATAGAAAGATAGATAGATTAGATTAGCTTTGCTTAGCTTTGCTTAGATTAGCTTAGATTAGATTGGATAGATAGAAATATAGCTAGATTAGATTAGATTAGCTTAGATTAGATTAGATTGGATAGATAGAACGATAGATAGATAGAACGATAGATAGATAGATAGTTAGATAGATAGATAGATAGATAGATAGAGAGATTAGCTTAGCTTAGATAAGATTAGATTAAATTGGATAGATAGAAAGATAGATAGATCGACAGATAGATAAGATTAGATTAGATGAGAGATTAGACTAGCTTAGATTAGATTAGATTAGATTAGATAGATAGATTAGATTAGTTTAGTTTAGAATAGATTAGATTGGATAGATAGAAAGATAGATAGATAGATTAGATTAGCTAAGATTAGATTATATTGGATAGATAGATATATAGATAGATTAGATAAGATTAGATTAGATTAGCTTTGCTTAGATTAGCTTAGATTAGATTGGATAGATAGAAATATAGATAGATTAGATTAGAATAGCTTTGCTTTGCTTTCCTTAGATTAGATTACTATATACAGATTAGATTGGATAGATAGAAAGATAGATAGATAGATAGATAGATAGATAGATGGATAGATCGATAGATAGATAGATAGAAAGATAGATAGAAAAATAGATAGATAGATAGAAAGATAGATAGATAGATAGATAAATAGATTAGGTTAGATTAGCTTAGCTTAGATTAGATTGGATAGATAGAAAGAACGATAGATAGATAGAAAGAAAGATAGATTAGATTAGATTAGCTTAGCTTAGATTAGATTAGAGTGGATAGATAGAAAGATAGATAGATTAGATTAGATCAGATTAGCTTTGCTTAGCTTTGCTTAGATTAGATTATATTAGATTGGATAGATAGAACGATAGATTAGATTAGATTAGCTTAGATTAGATTGGATTGGATAGATAGAAAGATAGATAGATTAGATTAGATTAGCTTGGCTTAGATTAGGTTGGAGTGGATAGATAGAAAGATAGATAGATAGATTATATAGATTAGATTAGATTGGATTAGCTTAGCTTAGCTTTGCTTAGATTATATTAGATTGTATAGATAGAAATATAGATAGATAGATAGAAAGATAGATAGACTAGATTAGATTAGCTTAGCTTAGATTAGATTACTGTGGATGGATAGAAAAATAGATAGATAGATTAGGTTGGGTTAGATCAGGTTAGATTAGCTTTGCTTAGATTAGATTATATCAAATTGGATAGATAGAAAGATAGATTAGATCAGATTAGATTAGCTTAGATTAGATTGGATAGATAGATAGAAAGATAGATAGATAGAAAGATAGATTAGATTAGATTAGCTTAGCTTCGATTAGATTAGAGTGGATAGATAGAAAGAAAGATAGATACTCTAAGTTGTGGAAGTCAAAGCGTTTCAATGAAATGTGCGTCCTAGGTGGGGGAGAAAATTCTTGAAGTCGGTGCGATGTTGCGTCCAGTTGGTGTTTATCATGTTTGTGTTTTCTCCAATTGATGGTTTATCGTGAGTTTTTCATGGATACCATGCAGATGGTTGTAGCTATTCCCTGGTGTTTTGGGAGTTTTAGCTTGGTAATAATGGACTTGTACATCACTGAATGGTGTCCTGTTGTCCTTGGACAGTTAGGCAGGCGGTGATGATGTAGCTCCGATTGGGTAGGCATTTGTGGCTCGCTCTGTTGTGCAAGATTCATACTACAAACACCGACGAATACTGGGTCGATGTTGTAACAAATGCCGATGACAAGATCTTGTGCCAAATCGTGGTGTGCCTATGGGGAAAGGCCCACATGGGCAGCGCCTATGACTTTCACTTACTGATGTATTTTTTGGCATTTCGCATAGGCACACGATGCTTACCTGTCATATCTTTTTGGGTTTGCCCACTATACTCCCAAAGATGAAAGATTGTGAGACATAACTGCGCACGCGCGTCCGAATGGGGATTTGGAAAATTTGGCAATAGAAAAGTGCACTGCCAGGGATCTAAAAATAACACTTCTACATAGTGCGTCCCATGGTGTTTTAGACCTGGTTGCATTGACTTGTTTGACTTCCTGAATGCGCGGCGTCCCATGCAGTTTTCACCTTGGTTCCACATATGCACTGACTTTCACGTCCCAGAGTAGATTATATAGATTAGATTAGGTTAGATTAGCTTTGCTTAGCTTTGCTTAGGTTATATTAGATTGGATACTGTAGATAGAAAGATATATTAGATTAGATTAGATTAGCTTAGATCAGATTGGATAGATAGAAAAATAGATAGATAGATAGATAGATAGGTAGATAGATAGCTAGCTAGCTAGATAGATAGATAGATAGATCGATACGTAGATTGGCTTAGATTAGATTAGATTAGATTGGATGGATAGAAAGATAGATAGATAGGTAGAGAGAGAGATAGATACAGTAGATAGATAGATAGATAGATAGATAGATAGGTAGATAGATAGATAGATAGATAGATAGAGAGATAGAGAGATAGAGAGATAGATAGATAGATAGATAGATAGATAGATAGATATATAGATTAGATTAGATTAGCTTAGCTTAGATTAGATTAGATTAGAGTGGATAGATGGAAAGATAGATAGATAGATTAGATTAGCTTAGCTTAGATTAGGTTATATTAGATTGGATAGATAGAAAGATAGATAGATAGATAGAATTAGATTAGCTTAGCTTAGATTAGATTAGATTGGATAGATAGAAAGATAGATAGAAAGATAGATAGATAGATAGAATTAGATTAGCTTAGATTAGATTATATTAGATTGGATAGATAGAAAGAAAGAGAGATAGATAGATAGAATTAGATTAGCTTAGCTTAGATTATATTAGATTGGATAGATAGAAAGATAGAAAGATAGAAAGATAGAAAGATAGAAAGATAGATAGATAGATAGATAGAATTAGATTAGCTTAGCTTAGATTAGATTAGATTGGATAGATAGAAAAATAGATAGATAGATAGATAGATAGATAGATAGATAGATAGAATTAGATTAGCTTAGATTAGATTATATTAGATTGGATAGATAGAAAGAAAGATAGATAGATGATCGATAGAATTAGATTAGCTTAGCTTATATTAGATTAGATTGGATAGATAGAAAGAAAGAAAGATAGATAGAATTAGATTAGCTTAGATTAGATTATATTAGATTGGAAAGATAGAAAGATAGATAGATAGATAGATCAGATTGGGTTTCGCCAAATTTAAAAGTTTAGTCCACCCTGGCAAATCGGGCGCTGCAGGCAGGGCGCAGTTCTGTGCCTTGTTGAGAAGGTGCGAATCGCGATTTCATTACTCGCCGATAAGTCACAGTTCCCATAGATCTTTTGCAGAAGTGGGGAGGGTTGAGAACATCAACTCTAACTGTGGAAGAGAGACAACAATCTATTGGGAGGCGATCATTTTGAGAGTGCTAAAGCGTTTCTTGAATTCTGCTGGGTCCGAGGATATAAGGCATGGGTAATTCTTCTTTGGATACCTTGGCTTGTGCATTGTGCGTTACAGAGAGTAGATATGTAATTGACTTGTGATTGGGTCTGCAATCAGGGTCATGAAAGTCAAGAGTAACAACTCCACCAGGTTTTTGGCTGGATTTTCACACTTACTTGGACATGATTGGCAACATTGGTCCCAACTTGCTTTCCTAGCTGAGTAAGGAATGTAAGGACCATGTTTCACCATGATTCTCCATCGCATTTCCGGTCCTGCTTGCGATGCAGATTTCAAGAGCACATAGAGCACCTTCGCATGCAGGCAGGATGTTCGGCTGCTGTACTTGCGAGAGGGCCACCCGTGCCGAGGCCCCTCTGCAGTTGGAGGAAGCACTGAATTCCATGATCTTTTCAAGTCTTTTCCGTTGCTGGGATGGAAACAATAGAATTTGTGGCTGTCTTACGGCTACTGACAGATGATCCTATGAGGATGAAAAACAAAACAACTCGTGAGTCGTGTGTCCCGTGTCACCAGCTCCGCACCAGGCGGTTGCCAAAGTAGCACCTGCACCGTCTGCATCGGCTGCAGCGGCACCCGCCTCTGCCTCTGGCCGTGGCAAGCGCCGCTCGGTGAAGGCTGCCAAGGACTAGGGATAGCTGCCTTTGAAGTTCCTGAATTTCTGCATCAGATGCATCCATTTCTGCATGGTTTTCAAATCATTTCACAAAAGAACTTGGGAGCCACCCTTGTAATCTCAGTACTGGAGTTAGCACAGACACTTTATATATTCTCAGTGATGCATTGTATGCCTTTTTCAAAAAAGTGATTCTGATTCTCTTTGGCCAATATTTCGGACACCTAAGAAAGCTATAGTCTGATAGCTTTTGTACATTTTTGTTCCCTCCTGCAGGACACACCCAAAACAGATGTGAAGGATGAACCTGCTGCAGCTGTGCTCTCTGCTGCGGACCATGTGCAGGCTGGACTCAGATGGGCTCAGCTGGAGTTTTCTTCTTCTTTGCTTCGGTATAGAGAATGTTTCACTCATCTTCAGTCCAGGGTTGGCCCTAATGCAAGCAGCTTGATTCCATTTGTTTGGTCTGTTGATCTCAGAAGGCTAGGAAGATCTATTTCCACCGCATGACTGTAGCAGAACAGCGAGGAATCTGGGGGATGCTTCCAGGCTGATGCCAATCTCAAAACTAGCGTTCCAGAAGCTGATGGCCAAGAACCTGAGGCCTGGGTTTTCTCCATTGATGGATCTCCTGGGATCGCACCGAAGCGGGATGGAGTGTGGATAATTGTTGCTAATAATTGATGAATTTTTATTGGTTTACAAGCGCCGTAGCGTTTTTTTCCGTCCCCACATTCCATGCTGTGCCGAAACGAGGCTGCGGAAGTGCCGGAAGCTCCTGATGCCAGCGAGATGCCAAAGCGCACGCACCGGCGGAGCCATTTCATTCCCAGCAGTGCGGCCGCTGCAGCGGGAGAGGTTTGCTGGCTAAGATGGAACCAGTGATGGGAAAGCGAACCTCTCCAGAATATGATATACATATATGAGTATATATATATATATAGTAATATTTATATATAATCACGAAAGCTAGCGTCAGCTAGCTGGAGTCTTCTTGCTTTAGCAAGTATTCCGGGGGCTGCTCAAGGACATCACGTGATTTTTCACGTGAAAGGGGGGGACCCCCACCCCCACCACCACCACCACCACCACCACCATCATCATCATCATCATCACCAGCATCATCATCATCATCATCATCATCATCATCACCATCATCATCATCATCACCAGCATCATCATCATCATCATCACCAGCATCATCATCATCATCATCATCATCGTCATCGTCATCGTCATCGTCATCGTCATCATCATCACCAGCATCATCATCATCATCATCGTCATCATCATGCTTCTTCTTTGTCGTCATCAGCATCATCAGCATCATCAGCATCATCATCATCATCATCATCATCGTCATCGTCATCGTCATCGTCATCGTCATCATCATCGTCATCATCAGCGTCATCGTCCTCGCCATCGTCCTCGTCATCATCATCATCATCATCATCATCGTCCTCGTCATCGTCATCATCATCATCACCACCATCATCATCATCGTCATCATCATCGTCATCATCATCGTCATCGTCCTCGCCATCGTCCTCGTCATCATCATCATCATCATCGTCCTCGTCATCGTCATCGTCATCATCATCATCATCACCACCATCATCATCATCGTCATCATCATCGTCATCATCATCGTCATCGTCCTCGCCATCGTCCTCGTCATCATCATCATCATCATCATCATCATCGTCCTCGTCCTCGTCCTCGTCCTCGTCATCGTCATCATCATCATCGTCATCATCATCATCATCATCATCATCATTCATCATTCATCATTCATCATTCATCATTCCTCATCATCATCATCATCATCATGGTTATTCAATTACAATTTATCATTATTGGCAATTATTGGCATTATCACGAAAGCTAGCGTCAGCTCGCTAGAGTCTTCTTGCTTTAGCAAGTATTCCGGGATATTCCGGGGCTCCCCAAGGACATCACGTGATTTTTCACGGGTAAGGCCCACCCCCCTGCCCCCTTCCCCATATATATCATTGTTATATATCATATATCATATATCATATATCATATATCATATATCATTGTTGCATCCTCGTTGGGACGAACAATGCCGCGACACGATGATGACAGTCCCTCCGCAACTCGCCTCTTCCCTTTCTTCTTTCTCCTACCCCGCTAGCTTTCGTCATCCACCCCCGGCCTCAAGTATGATATATATATATATGATATATGTAAATAGTTATATATCTATATATTAGGTCTTACAGTTCTTACAGAATCAATGCGAATTGACAGAAAGTTGATAGGGCATCATTTCGACTTCTGAACTGTTGCTGATTCCCTGACTCCTTTAAGTTATATACAAGTTAACAGCAACAAACAACCAATCACAGTTGCTGAGGCATCCCCTTTGTCGGCAGAGCTTGACGCGGGCAAGCAGGCGTCGCCAGTGGCAGATCCCACCGGCAGCTTCGAAGGCCAGCTGGCAACATTTGCTTAGCATTCCTCAACGGATTGATAGCGTGCCCCTGTTTATTGTGTAACCTGGGGCCGTCTCCATGGGTTCTCGACAATTAGTCAGTTTATGGTTCATAAGTTGGGTGAAGATTCAGGGTCTAAGCTGGCATTTGTGACAGTGCGTTTGCTAAGCAAGTGAAATGATGGAAACCATTGCATAGTGGCATCGTGGTGAACATGTTCAATGCTGCTTGATGCATGACGTTGGCCGTTGGGATGCAGTCCGCGAGCATATGAAATCCATCATATCCTGTCAAAAGTCTTTTAGTGACTTATGTTTGATCTGCCGTGAGGCACTCACAAAGTCCTGCTGGGAGTGACCAAGACCGTCGGATGCTTGGATCAGCTGTGAACTAGGTCAGTGAGTTTAAAGAGGCCTGCCCAAATCGTTCCCAAGCGGAAATTCTGATGGCACTTTAGACTCTGATGGTGATTGGCTGTGCAGCATCTGTGAATGTGCTTAGTGCAGGAATACCAAACGATATCTTTCTTGCTGCGCACTGCACATCAGGAAATCTTTGACAGTCAAACCAGTCTTGCTGCAGGTTCATGGGTCGACTCCACTGGTCGAGTCTGAGTTCAAGGAACCCAGTCTTTTCTTGTGGTACATTGGGCCATTTATTATTTTCTCCCCATCTTTGCGAATTGCATGCAACTACTTCAATCTCAATCATGTCCAAGATGAAGTGCTATTGCCCCACTTCTTCCACTTGTCCCAGTAGAAACCACATTCGATGCAGGAGAAGTTTGTGGAGCAATCTGGATGCGACAGCGAGTCAGCTGCAAGGCACAAAATCTACTGCCTGTTTTGAGATTGTCAACTTATCAACATATTTTATATTTTTAAAACAAGCCACAGCGACATATCATCTGGCAGGTCCCGCTTCTTGAAAGCCGGGGTAGCCATCAGCTGTGCAAAGGCTGGCAATGGTTTGCTTTGCTCATCCATTGGACTACCTTTGATTTTCGCCCTAAATTTGAATGCTTCACAAGTTTCTTCCTTATCTCCTGCAGAAGGGCCACAATGTTTCTTGCCGAAGAATGCTCAACACCCCTTTCAACATCATCCTAACAGCCTCCAGGCGGAGAAACAAATGCCAACCAATAGCTTGGTCTCTCTACTAGAATCATGGAATCCTTGCTCCCATTCTGTTTTGGCTATCTGGCTTCATTGCAGCCACCAATTTCAAACAATCTCACACACACACACAACAGATACGCAGATTCATCTCTGTTTGGTTGATAAACACCTAAACGCATAGATTGAATCCAGCACAGTTGGCATCCTACCCGTCCTACCCCAAATGCTGTTTTCCCTGACACCAAAATGAATAAAGATGGAAGCTCTGTCCCTGGCCAGGGCATGAAGCCTGGAACTCCCAATCAGGACGGTCTGCCAAATATTGTGCTGGTATTGGTAATTATGAGGGGATGGTCCACCCTTCTTGATATCAAGCTTTCGTTGAAGCATGAGATGTTCTGTCTCGAATTTGCCTGGTAGATCATCAAGACTGCAGGTGCGAATAAAAGTTTGAGGTTCGTTTGACTTTAAGTCCCAAAGGATTTCATTGAACCTCCCCGAAGGTGCACGAGTAGATCCACCAAGTGTCCTCAGAAAGTAACCACACTGGGGGTGCCTTTCCATCATTGGCAGTCAGATTGCGGGCACCGCAGCCGTGGATTCACACTGTTTCTTGTGTTGCAACTTTTACCCGAGTTAGGATCGACTGTATATAGTGACTATAGTGACATGAATTGATTCAGTCCTTCTTTTTGCCCGGCATAGTTGGTTTCAAACCTTTTTGTGAGCTGATATCCCGGATCAATCTATTGTTTGGATGCAACAACAAACCAATGCGGTAAACTCAATGACAATCCATCCCCAATTAGCACATTTTTTCCCATTTGTGAGCAACAAAACCATATCCAAAATATGCGGCTGATTAGTGGGTGTGCGACCGCTGTGCGACATTGAATGAGCCTTTTGGAAAACTCTTCCTGCGAGGACAACTTCTTTGTCACTGACTGTGGAAACTTCCTTCTCTGCTGTGTCGCAGACGGCCATGGTCCGGGTCGCAAGCTGTAGCACAAGAGGATTTGATCGTCAAGATTCTTGTGAAGAAAATCAAGGACAGAAAACATCTTCAAATTAGGATGGGGTACGCTGTACATACAGCAGTGCATGATGAAACAGATATGACATATGATATGTGCCCTGTATGTACAAACCTCAGATATTTTTGGATGATATACTCAGACAGATGCCACTCTGCCCTTAAGGCTCTGCTGGCCACTGGGTATCTCACTGGACCTGCAAATTTGTTTTGAGGCGTGGCCAGGGAGTGACTGTGATTTGGTTGTTGCCGTATTTGAAGTGTCAGTATGCTCTGAATGGCTTGCAAGTTTCAAGGTCATGATCGCACGTTGCGCAGGAGCATCATACACTCAATCCTAGGCAGTTGCTCTCTATCAATATTCTCTCAGACCAGCACATTTGACCCGATTGCAGCTCAAGTTAGGGTCTGCAAGACATGGGTGTCTCCCCCACTTTTATCATCATGATCCAGTTGTTGCCGTGCAGCTGGGATGTGTGGAGGATGATGTTAGAGCAGATGGAGAAGGCAAAGTCCTTGCCTACGACGAAAGCCATGATGGAGACGCTTGGCAGGCAAAACTAAAAAAAACAACTCCTTGTATCCATGGACACAAGACACTTTCCAACTGGGACGACTGGTGGGACCAGCATGAAAGTACATAGAGGTAAGTTTTTGCTCGCCTTTTCTGGAGGCTGATGTACAATGCAGAAGGGAGTAGATCGACTAACCATGGACTTTTGCGTGCGACTCGATGTTCTACTTGTTTCCGCCAATTTCTTGGGAGTTGGCAAAACCCAATACATTCCAAATATTTGAAAGGAAACTTAAGATGATGCCTGAACCCTGCTATTGCCCAGAGCATCTCAGGATCTTTGAGAAAGTGCACAAGGAGCCTGACCCGGCAAACACTCCTTCGTAAGTGTGCTTGTGAGATCTTGTGAGTGCTAGGGTGTGTGTTGCCCCACTACAAACTCATGGCAGATTTGAGGGTGGAAATCAAAACATTTTCTAGTAGAAAAATGGATTGTTGCTGCAACTCAATCCATGAGGCTTTCTGGCTTGTCCGTGGTTCAAAACAGACTGCAGTGACTTCTTTGCATCAAATAGGTCAGTAATGTTGGGGATTTCGGGTGCTAATGGATAGAGCTTTCGCTTGCCACAGCCCTGGATGGAAGGAGGTGATTCGCACTGCCAACTCTGAGAAGTTTGAAGTCGGGCCGGAGAACCTGGACGCAGCATTTTGCAGCAAATTAGAAAATCAGGTTCTTTGGATCGACATTTGGAATTGGGCAATGCCCATGTCGGTCCATGTCGGTCCATGTCGGTCCACGTGGCTTGAATCAAAGCCGGGTCCGGTCCAGCGATGTTCGACTGAGGTTGTCGGGCACCACCTTGTCGGTGGGAAGCTTAGCAAAGTGAAAACACTGGACGTAGCACCTTCCACGGGCTGAAAATCGCTGAAATGTAGATTATAGATCACTATAGATCACTATAGATCACTATAGATCACTATAGATCACTATAGATCACTATAGACTGATGACTGCTCATATTTCTTTCGTTTGTTTGGTTTCGGGCGGGTATATATTATATATATACACTATACACACACACACATACCCAATTGTTTTTTCCAATGTAATGTGAAGTATCAGTATATGTGTGTATATACACACACACACACCTATAGCCCATTGTTTTTTCCAATGTGAAGCACAGAATAGTTAATATCATTTGATTGCTTGTTGATCAAGTGGTGTTTTTGCAGCATACTTTGACGACATCAGGCTTCTTTGACAGCTGCTTTGAGCTGCGTTCACATTGACTTCATGAGCAGGTTACAACGATTTTAGGGTGGAACTCAGACAGCAGATGTTTCCGTGAAAGCACCAACCTACCTGCAAAAATTGTGTCTGAGCCGGACAATATCTCCATACAGTAAATATTTGCTGAGGTCGCAGTCATCGACCGGGAGAAGCGGAAGATTCTGCTTGCTTGGGTTGACTACTCAATACAAGGGAACCCATTTGGGACACTTAGGTGGCTATCTTCAAACCATACCTGCTCTCGAACCAAGCACGGATGCTACAGGGGAGTTTTTGCACCGAACGTTCAGTGTTTGAAGCCCGCATTTTGATTGATCCCGCTGGTAAGGCCGGAGACTCTCGCTGTGTGCTTGGGCGGCCTGTGAAGAAGGGAGAAGCTGGGCTGCATTAGATGGGTGTGGTACAAATGATGACATGGATTTCCGATTTTGGGAGGAAGTGTTGGCCTTGTTTGTTGCTGGACTGAAGGAGATTCCGTCTGGTTTGTGTGGCGTTCATTTAATTTTCGGGTTCTGTGTTCTGGACATTTCAAACGAGGAAGTCATGTCGCAGATCCTAAGCCCGAAGCAAAGCAAAGACAAACCAGATCGAGGTTGCAGGGCAATATGCTCAAAGCCCTCTCAAGCACAAACAGAAACACCGCAAGAAGGATACTTACCCACAGATACATTCCTGTCTACTTCAGCCGGTTGTTTGTCTTGGTATTGTATGGCTTGGATTGGATGGTGTGAAATATTGATCTAAGGTCATCTCGCGTCTTGCGTCGGGCCCCTCTGCCACTTGGCGGCCATGGTCGGTGCTCGATGTGACTTGCTGTGACCCTGATATTTGACAAATGCAGAGCTTGGAAAGTATCGAACTGATGGCTATACTGAATGCAGACACCTCGCAGCCAAGGGCAAATCAGACTATGCTGCTGATCTGAAAATATGCGTATAATGATGCTTTGATCACAGAACTGACTAGACCGCAATTACGGGACCAACGTATTTTTGAACATGGGATCATTTTGCAGACTTCAGAATTGTTCCATACCTTCCCACCACGAAGTTGGGATCACACAGAGAGTGGTGGACAAACGTGTTGCAGCAGAGTGGCATGGATGAAGGTAATTAGTGGACTTCATGTGAATTGTGGAAAACCCTGAAGTATTGTCAGGCATGCCAGCACACATCGCTGGGAGGATCATAGCTGGAATTCATCCACATCATGGGGATGCCTTCGACTAGATGAAGTAAAACATACCTCAGCTCAGTTGGACTGCTTGAGGTGGGAGGATCAGCCGATCACAAACCAAACGATCCGAAGGAGCTCAGCCACTGAAATTGAAGAGGTGTTTTGAATCCAGAGAAATCCACACTCCTGGTTCATGGTTCATGAAGAAGCCACTTGACCATTACCACCGTCGTCATTCTCATCATGAGCGAAATCACATCTTTGTGATTCCCCATGATGGCAACGTCTTTTTTCCTCACCTTCTGAAGGCTATGACGAGAGGAACCAACAGATGCAACAGCAAACACCGAAGATACCGAAGCACGGCCCGCAGAGCTCTGCCAGGAGCGGCGGCGTGTGGAGGAACAGGGTGGCGAGGTGCTGCTGCTCCCTGGTGACGCTTGGCACCACCTTGAGACAGGTGCGGTAGGAAGATGGAGGAAGCGAATCAGTTGGGGCATACTGGGGCTGTGACTGAATCATACTGAATCAGTTGCCACTGAGAAGGGTTGGAAGAAACCTCAAGCCATCCAATGGCTTCCTCAGCAAAAGTTCTAGACTGAGCCGTTGATGTCTTAAAGGAAAGGGCACAGAAAGTTTCCACGCTTCGTTAGTGTAACGGGCGAAGATTTGGATCCACCCAGTGCCGACTTTTTGTTTTACTTGATGTACAAGCGAACAATTTTTGATTCAAGAAAACTCACCACGTTTCACGCCTGTGAGCAGTTCTGGCGTGCATGAGTAATGCATAGTAATGCTCTACACTTTGTGTGACATAACGACCCCGAATTTCTGCTAAGGATGTGCCACATCGAGTCTTTGCCAAAGGTAAAGAGATTCCTGGATTGGCAATGTCCCGCTCCATTGGCGATTTGGCTGGGCACAAAGCTGGCATCATCCATCAGCCCCATGGCAGAAGGGACCATGGCTACTGGATGCTGTGACTCAAGGGCTGTTGATCGAGTTGACTGGTGCCATCTAAGGCCTGGCATCGAGTGGTTGGATTTTCAAAAAGATGATCTTTTGCTTTGCTGCTCCGATGGTGTCTGGGAGTTCCTCAGCAATGTGGAGGCCCTCAACATTGTGTCGCAGGCGTGAAGGGCGGTTCAAGAGAGACGTAGCAAAAGCAGACGAGAAAGACGAGAAAAGAGCTACAGAATAGCTACAGCAGCTACAGTAAGCGGAGTCCTTGTAGCTACACCAAACAGGGCTTGAATTCCTTGTCCAGGTCGGGAAAAAGAACGCGGCGGACGGAGTGCAGAGACTTGGACAACACTTGGGCAGCTTTTGCAGGTGCTTCGTTTGGTATGTTTGGTAGTGATTGATCTCCGCTGCATTCACATAGTGACATAATTTGTCCTATGTTTTTAAATGTTTTTCTATGTTATTCTTGCTGTCGACGGACTGAGGACCGAGTAAACTTGACAAATAGCAGTCCACTCCACCGCTAAGGAAACTATCTGCAGAGTCCCGTAGATTGTGGTTGGCAGAAGCAGCTGCTTTCTTGCATGTGGAGCAGTCTTTCATTGCCATGAGATCCCAGAGATTGCTTTATGTTGTAAGAGTTCACGTGGATGAGGTTTGATAACCATGATTGGCCACAATGATAACTAGCCTTAATCTTCACAGTTCCATACTCCTGATGACTTCAGGATGACTGCTGCGATGACATCACAGTCATTGCGGTTTGGCTCAGCTGACAGCTGGAGATCCAGCAGAGTATACCGCCGGACCGAAAGTTAGAATGCCGTTTTGGAAAAATTACATGGACGGCAGGCATTCTAACGCGGAGAGGCATTCTAAGCCTATTTATTTAGTCCCGAAACCCCTAAAAGACCAAAATTCTTTACCGGCACGGCATTCTAATTCTAACCCAAATTTTCGACCGTCTCGTGTCTTCCATGTACTGCAAAATATAGTTCATTCTTGAGGATGCTGGGAGGATTCCATGGCCAGCAAAACCTAGAAGAACAAAGTGTGATTAGATCATATTGACATATATTGACAGTTGCTGGACCTCCAGTTTTAGGATTTACGTACGCTCGGCCCTTTTTTGCTCAAAGCGTGGCTTTGTCTTCTCTCATGAGCCGGTGCCTACACTGTAAGCACTGGGAGGTTGAGAGAGACGGAGCCTGCCGTCTGTGTAGACTCTGCCTTGCGATTTCCCGAATAGCCGGGGATACAAACTTCAGACAGAAACACTTTGAGGGGACCTGTGAAGGTCTTGCGGGGATCCTTGGGACCCTTACTTCCCAAGTTCTCCTCGTCCCGCCGGACGGCAGGAGAAACTTTCTTGATCCTCCTGCTCAAAGCGTAGGAGAGAGCTTGGACTCTCCTCGGGCTGGTCGAGAGCCTGGAAGGAGAAGGCACAGAGAGAGGGGTAGGTCCGCTAGTGAAGGAAGAAGGTCACGTGACAGGAGACGTCGTCCTGAGACTGCAGACTCAAAGGACAAGTCCAGGCTTCCCACTCCCCCTCGCGTGGACTTGCGCGGTAGGGGGAAGACTCCTTCGGTCTCTCTCTCTAGGTCTCCTCGTGACAAGTCGCGAAATAGGAGGAGGCAGGAGAGCTCTGATCGAAAAAAGAGACGTCGAGCAATTTCTCCTGGTTCTAGGCCCGAGGAGAAAAAGGAAAAGGAGGATCGCGAGGATCCTCACGACCGAGTCGAAAAAGACAAAAGAGAGTTTAAACCAACTTGGGTCCCGAATCTTCGGACACCTGCTGAACCAAAGTCACCCCCGCCAAGAAAAAGTTCTCAAGGCGGTGAGGCGGAAAAGACATCAAGTAACCAGAAGCCGTTAGAACCTTCACCGCCTGCTCCTCCGGCCGTTCCCAAGGGCGGAAGGGAGCAGGAAAGACCAACTCAGTCCAGTTCCTCCAAGGGTTGGAAAGGAGCTGGAAAGGCACCATATTCTAGTGGTAGGCCCTCCAAGGGAGACGCGAAAGGGGGATATTCCAACGGTAACTGGAGCCATTGGGGTTGGAAAAATTGGGGCTGGGATTCCTCTTGGGATCAGTCCTATTACAGTGATCCACCTAAGGCTCGAAAAAACAGAGGGTTGAAAAGCAATCAATTCATTGGAAAAAAGATTGAAGAAAGGCGGGCCAAAGCGAAAGCCAAAGCTGCGACTGGCCCCCTAGACCGTAAGTCGGTTAGCTCCGAGAGCGAGTCAGGACAGGAGAACGGGGTTTCTGCTGCTCTCCTTCCTCCTCCTGGGACAGTAATCGCCGAGGAGTGTCCGGAACAAGGGCCTCCGGACGTTAAGTCTGAGCTACCTCAGGAAGAGGCAGCGCCTTCCGAAACAGTCAAGGATTGTAAAGATGCCGCCGAAGATACGGCGACCGGCAGCGGCGCCCCCGATGGGGCGCCGGGTGAGACCTGCGGCGCCTAAAGCGAGAAATGGGGACCCAAAGCGGGCTGCGGCCAAGAAAAAGCCGTCAGGCTCGGAAGGGCCACTGGAAGAAGACCCTCCTCTATGGACAGAGGTCAAGGAATTGGCTCAGGCTGACCTTCAGGTAGGTTCGGCTGTCCTTGCTCGAGTATGGTACAGCGGGGAGGAAGGTTTGGTCCACGGGACTGTTAAGGAAGATACCACGGATGATGAGGGACGCTGGGTTGGGTTGGAAGTGAAAGGTACTCAAGTCCATCAGCTAAGGACTTACCTCATTACCAACCCACGGCCTGATCCCATCCTGTATCTCTCCCGCAGTGATGTTCCGCTGGCCAATCGGCATAGTGCGCCAGGGGTAGGCTATCTCCTCTCTTATCGGACAGTAGAGCTTGGAGATCGCTTACCCTGGATGGATAACTGTAAGGACCGTCACCCGGGGGATATAGATGAGAATGCTGACCTTCGTGAGGCGGCCCGGAGGGTTGGACTATGCACGGGGAGTTCAGTCCCCTCCTCCTATAGCCCCTGATGGTGAGGAGAGGGAAGTAGTGCATTCCAAACCGTCAGGGGAAAAGAAGCTGACCGGGAAGCAAAAAGTGAAAAAGATGATTGAGAAGGCTCGCTGGGACTGTAAGGGGACGCCCCTTGACCCGTCGTACAAGAAACCTGTGAAGCTTAAAGTGAAAAGAAGGGCAAGCAGCTCTAGTAGTAGGAGCTCACACGTCTCAGGCGCCAGCATTTCGTCAGAAGAAGGTCTAGGGGCCGAACACCGGCTAAAGGCCATTTCCAAGAAACTACCTGGCTACCTCTGCCGAAGTTCAGCTAAGGAAGCCAAAAGAAATCTGGCTGAGTCTTGCGGTGAGGCGCCTCGTAGTTTGAAAGTTTTTCATAGATACTACAGGCAAGTTGTTGCCCCACGTGGCGGCTCACGTGGCATGCAGCGTGAAATGGTGACCCTGTCAGTAATATTGGACACCTTGATTGAAGGAAATGTCCTTCAGGCCATGGACACTGCTGCCCAACGGCTCAAGAGCCTTGAACTCATGCAGCAAGGCTCAGAGGCCAATTTGGCTCTGCAGATTGAGTTGCTTCCTCGGGACCACTTTGGAAAGTTTACTGCGGAGTCGAAACTGCAGCAGCATTTGAAGGGCAACCCAGGAACTGGGAAAGGCTCCTGGAGCTCGGCTCCTCAGGAGTTTCTCTCACAAGATATGAAAGGAAAGAGAAAAGGTTCGGAGAAAGGAAAAGGTAAAGACAATTTTTCCAAGGGATCCATCGATGTCAGTAAACCGACTGCCCCTCAAACTTGATGTTCTTCATAGCACAAGGGGGCGGTCCTTATTCGCCCAAAGAAGCCAGGCCTGGTAGGATAGCTGCTGCAAATCATGCAGTTACATCTGGCAATACCAGCAGCTCTCCTCCTCAGATGTTCCCTTTAGTAATAAATTAGGGGCTCACTGAGCATCGCTTGGTGTAAGCCCGATAATGTTTATTTATGTAAGATAACTGGCAAAATGGATGTTTAGGCATGGCTCATCATGCATAGCATGGTGGTAGCCCCGCCAAGAATATCAACATATGAAGTTGGGAGCACCAGCAGGGTGTCTGTCTTACTTTTGATGCCTTGGAATGGCAACTAGGCCCCGTGTGGCCCATCACCCGTGAAGGCACTAGGTCTTCTTGAGGACCCGAGCCATGGCGCAGCGTTGGATGGCAATGCTGTTGCGGCGGCTCGGAGCCTGGGAAGAAATTAAGGCACGGGTTGCTGATCTCGGAAGACCAGCCCACCAGGTTCATCATTTCCTCCCCATAACCCTCATTTCAAAAATTTAACAAAGAATCCAAGCGGGGTTCCACCACGGAGGGACTTGTCCACTCCGCTTGCCTGCTGACCATTGGGGACAGCAATGCAAGCCTTTGGGATTTTGGGTTGAGGGATGAAATGATTGTTTATATGTATAAAATATGTTGGTTTCACCTGGAAGATTGCTCTCCTAACAGCCACCAGGCGGGACTGTTGGGCAGGGGCCCTAAGGAGTCAAGTCCTGTTGGATTGGTGGAGGGACGTTTCAAAAAGATTTAACTATACAATCTTACCAGGTGATCTCTTTCCGTCAAAGATGGATAATTCAAGTGACAGTGATAGCCGTTAGTTCCCTTTTTCAAAAAACGGTGGGAGAAGACATTTTTGTTGTTGCTGGCAGAATCGCAGAAGGACACTGCAACTGCACATTTAAGAAAATTTGATTTATTTCTGGTACAGAGGCTTCCAACAAGCTTAGTCGTAGAATAGTTGAGGTTTGCTTCATTTTCACAGCAAATAATTGTAAGATGAGCCAGAGGCTTCTACTCGACCCGGGGGCGAAAGGGTGACCTTGGTACAATGGTTTGCTCTCTAAGTGTGTGCCCTCGTTGGGGGACAAATTTGGCTATGCTCCTGGAGCGGCTGTGGGGTCCCCCCCTTGGTGGTTGTGGTTGTTGTTGTTTTTGTTGTTGTTGTTGTTGTTGTTGTTGTCGTCGTTATCGTTGTCGTAATTGTTTTTCTGGTGCTTGTTGCGTTGTCGCTTTTGCTGTGTTTTCTTTCCCCTAATTGCGAGGGCGCTTTTGGATCCTCAGCCCTCGCATTCAAATAGCGGCGAAAGGGCTTCTTGGAGCCTTTCTCCTTGGTGTGTTTCAGGTGTCCCTTGTTTGTGCCCTGCTGCCCTCACAAACTCTGTAATGTCAGAAGTTTTGGTAAAGTGGTTTACGCAGGTTGAACCTGCAAAACCGCTATGCAGATCGCTGTCCAGGGCTGCTGCTCCTGGCACAACAGCGGATTTGATTCAATAAACAGGTATGGGGGTAAACCTCGAGTAATTGCTCCCCGCAGTACCCCGTTCCAATTCGCTTGGCCACAGGACTTATGGGTCCCACCATTTTTAACGGATAAGGGTTTTTTCTTCTTTGTTCGTTTTCAAACAGTTTTTGTTACCCCCTGGTCCTTGATGGCCAGTTAACATAGACCCGGGCAAGCCGGCGGCGGAAGTTTCCCAAACATAAATGACCTATAGTTCAAAGACAACCTGTCCCGACCGTGTCCTTCCCTCGACAACCGTTTGATTTTTTCAGCGAGAGACGAAGCAAAGTCTTCACACTCCACACTCCACACTTCACACTGCACTCTTCGCACTCCAAAACTTCAAACTTCACACTCCACACTTCACACTGCACTCTTCGCACTCCAAACTTCAAACTTCACACTCCACACTTCACACTTCACACTGCGCTCTTCGCACTCCAAACTGAAACTTCACACTCCACACTTCACACTCCACACTTAACACTTCACACTTCTCACTTCTCACTGCTTCCTTCACACTCCAAACCTCACACTTCACACTTCACACTGCGCTCTTCGCACTCCAAACTGAAACTTCACACTCCACACTTCAC